TACAACAGTCACTAATATGCCATTATGTAAAAATGTGAGTGTGTAACCGATGTGATTCTGCAATTTGTATTTGGGGTAAAAATGGGAGTTCATAACCCAATTGAGTCAAATGTATGAAAGATGATATATCATGAGCTTTGTAATGTTTTAAACAACCAATAAAAAAAAAGTTGTCATAGATACTCATTCCCTATAACTACAATCTATATTAGACTAAGTTTTCTTAGATTCTTCTGAATAAGACAACAAAAAAACTAGTTTCAAATCTAAAAAGGGAGAAAATAACATAATCTATATATCCTTAATATAAAAAACAAATGTCTCTTTCAATATTCAACTTTTCAAGCAAATTGGACAATCTTTTCTGAGTATTGAGGGTCATCCACAAATATATTTTCTTGCTTTAATCTTTTGTCTACAGATGCTTTCTTCATCCTTCAGAGAACTTAAAGCTTTGTCTATGATCTCCAACCAACTAACACACCACGTGAAAGTTGAAATTTACAACCAAGGCCTGCTTATGAACATGATCAGAGGTACTCAATGACACATTTCACATTTTCCAAAGCACTAGTACTCTGAGAGACTGTCTAAACAAAAACAAAAATCAAGAAAGCAAACTAAAATTAAACCCAGATAAATTTATAGCATGCTGTGAATAAACTAGTTACAATTCAAATGGACTGTATACTACTTAAGTTATTTATATGCCAGTAATTTCAGATTTTCTTGATTTTTTTCAATACAAAATTTTTGAATGCTGCTTAAATTCAACAGCAGCCTAGAGCCTGTTCTATATGTTTATCTAGAAATTTCATAATATTAAAGAAAATCTGACACAACATATAACAATCCTAGTTTCACATATTAATCTGAACACTTCAAAAAGTTTTTGATATTATACTGATATAAATGGAAAAAAATCCTTTTAGGCTCAAGCTCAGACTCAGTAACATTTTATATCAAATAATATAAATGTTTATTATTCAGGAAGTAATCAAACAGATGAAAATTAACATTTCCTTTTCTGAAGAAGCCCATTCAATGTTTCTTCCAAGAATCTACAAGTTATTTGCTAAATATAAATTCATTCTCAAAATACCAAAAATGTCCAGTAAATGTCATTCATGTTCATAAGTGAAAAGGGCTCACAATTTCCGTGGTGCCCCTGGCCTGAATTTAGTTGAAAGAGCACAGGGTGCTCTTTTATGACAAACATTTTTTTTAAAAAAATATTTATTTTAGTTGTAGTTGGACACAATATTTTTATTTATTTATTTTTATATGGTGCTGAGAATCAAACCCAGGGCCTCATACACATTGGGTGAATGTTCTACCGCTGAGCCACAATCCAGCCCAATGACCAACATTTTATGGTTCTCCTTTAACTTCCAGTCCTTCTCTACTCAAATGAGTTTCACTGTTGGCAGGTAAGGTTTCGGTCAACACATATGAAAGCTTAGCATACAAAAGGGCACTTATATGTGTCAGTGGCAAGGTTATCCTGTAGCAGCAGGTATTTTTCAAAAATTTTAAAACTGTTAAGGACACATCTCAACATTAGTAGAAAGTACTTATTTTCCTTGACAGTAGTATATCCCATAAAATAAGGCTTTGACTATTAGTTTCTAACTTATATCACATTTTGTTTTATTTTAAATCATGTTTAACAAATGTTGTTTAAAACAAATATAATTCTACATCATTAGCGTATAACTAATAGGAAAGTCCCAGTTTATGTTAGGTTTGTGTCAGGCATGGTGTTACGTTGTTTACACAAATTATTTATTTTTTTACTTGCAACTCAAGGAGTTGCTTCTATATTTTTGTTACAGTGAATAAGGGCACCAGAAAGGCTTTATGTTCATATTTCCTTTTGAATTATAGTTGCTTGGAATATATTTTCCCAAAATCCCCCTGGCACAAGAGTACAAACAATTTTAAAGTTCTTATTTTATACAGTGCCAACCTGACCTCCAAAAAGACTACCACAATTCGATACACTATCACTTGCACTGAGATTATCTTTTCTTTATAAAACAACTAAAACTTCTTGACAATACTGTCTACTTATTAGCATGGTTTAACATTCTTCCTATTGTCTAAGCTTTTTCATGTGTCATATGGTTCAATGCTCTATTGAGTGTTATTAATTAATCAGCAATATTAAATCTTAATATTCAACTATGACCATTATAATTATTAGTTCTCTATATGTTGGACATACACTGAACTTTCACTAGTGCCTTCTTTCTTAATTTGCTTATCTACTATTCAAAAACCTTTTTAATTTGTATCATTAAACCTTCATTCACACCACCATACATTTCTCAATGAAAATTTCTTCAACTATCTGAGTAGTTTACACGTTTTTCCCCATCTACAGATTTAAATGCAGTTTTTTTTTAGTTTTATATCTTCCATATTTCATATCTATATTCACCTATTTCTTTGTTCTTAATTCTTTTACCAAACTGGTGGTACCTTTATAAGTCTTAAAGCTGGGAAAGGTCAATCTCTTACCACTAGTTTTAATTTTTTCCTTATACTTTGGTATTCTTCAGTGTTTTTAAGTATATAAACTTGGGGGGAAAAAGCCCTTAGGACACTTATGTACTTCTCCCTATCACCAATCATGGCATAGTATGAGTGAACTACATGTGGTTAAACTGTATCTCCTCAGGAAAATAGCACCACTGCATGGATCTGGCATCCTAGGGGAACTTCATCTTTTGGTCACAGGGTTAAGAGCTTCTGATTTCACAGCCCTAAAGCCCTCTTTGAAATGTCCTATATATAAGCTTTCCTATCATTATACTCTCTGGTAGAAGATTACAACTAAATCTTAATATGCATTCAATTACTTCTATATACAAACTGAGGGAAATACTATTTTTCATTATACAGAATCTTTCTAAACATAGCAGAATAATCCTTCTAATGGAAAGTATTACAGCAACAACAATAATGATAACAGTGAAGAACAACAGCATTCTACCTTTGGGGGAAAAAAAGCAAATAGATAACAAATGGTATTTGTCTCCATTATGGATGAGATTTTTTTCTTTATTGTTTATGGGAGACAACTATAACCCCACGACAAGAATTCAATTATAAAACAAACTTGAATCAACATGAAGACACTATCATTTATATTATATTAATATTATGGTGCTAGGAATCGAACTCAGGCACCATGTATGTCTCTACCACTGAGCCACATTTGTAGCACTATTAATCATGTTAGAACAACTTGTGGACTGGTAAGATTTACAGGAAAAGAACGATTTTACTAATTAGTTGTTTATGATTTACTTAACATTTAAATCTTTCCTTTCCATACATGTTTGATTTTTTAAAATGTTTAAATGTTTAGGGAACTTGGTTCACAGCAGCAGCTACATGCCTTTGTTTACTGAGATCTTAAGGTTTTAAGCTAATAATATTGCTAAGATTATTCTAAGGCTATATATTTATTTCTTTAGCAGTTAACAGCTTTTAATAAACATTATGCCAGGTGCTGATAATATCCAAATATGCAAGAAACCAGGTTCACTCTCCTCAAACTGGGGGGCATAATGGTAGAGAAATAAATACCAGTACCAATGGTTTTACAAAGGATATTGTTTATCAAAAAAGAAATGTGTGTGCAGTGTCAGGCAAAGGGGTAACAGGAAGTAGTAGACTGGAAGGAAGGATAGGAATTCAACAGGAAAATAAAAGGGCAACCCAGACAAAAACAAGGAAGTATGCATGTGCAAGACAGCAGGGCACAAGCAATCCAGTGCAGGAGAGGCAAGAAATGGAATTCACTCTCTCCGTAAGTCCCCAGAAGCTAACCACACCAAAGCCATGGAATCAATTCCCCCTCTTCCCTTACATTAAATATCCAATACCACAGTATCTCTTGAACTGTCATCTTCTAGAGTCTGCACTTTACTCTGCTTTCACCAGTAGTCCAAGTGCCAATAAGATAGGAACTGTAAGACCAAAAGAATGGTCTTTGATGACCTCTGCACTCAYTGTCACTGAAAACAACAGAAGCAGAAAGTAGGGAAAATGAAAAACAAACAGTGGGCCCTGCCTTAGAATATGGTAATGAAAAAAAATGAGATTCAGGTCCAGAGGCTAGAGAATTTCTCTATGTCTTTAGGACAACTGAGTAAGTACATGCTGAGGGAAAGAAGTCAGAAAAAGAAAAGGAAAGAGGAAGAAGAAGAATAAGAAGTAAAGAATAATTTGAAAAGTAGTTCCAGAAAAGTATGGAGAATAAAGGTAAAGAGGTAGGGAACCAGCATTTCTGAAAAGTAGAAGAAATTAAAAAGGACAGAGCTGGAAGCCTGGTTAAGTTGAGAGAATGGGCAGGAAAGCTTTTGAAATAGAGCACCCACACACCTTCCTTGTGGTGCAGTCATGGGAAAGGAGGGCAGTGGGGAGGAAGTGGAGGTGAAGAGACCACACCCTGGTTGATTTCAATATTCTCCTAAACAGCTTAGGAGTAACAAAAAAATACTGGCAGAATGAAGCCACAGAAAAGTCATGTTCTCCCCATTGCCCAGAAAAAGAAAAACATACACAATTCCCCATGGAAATTTCAAATGCAAGAGCAACCAAAACAATGAAGCTTCCTTAAAAACACATAAATTACACATTTGTCAACACTGTTTTCATCCTTGTATCACTGCAAACACTTCCAAAATAATGCCCAATGTTCTTTCTTTATATGTACTATTTCATATGAAATGAAGAATTAGATAACATTAAAAAGAGGTGAGACATAGCTAATTTTAGTTTACCTAGAAAGCACATAAACACATTTTACCTCTCGTATTTCATGGCCTGCTCCTCTGTATGACTGCAAGTCCTCCAAGATGCCTTCTGCATCTTTTAATACTACATTCACCTGATTATAAATTTCCTTCTCAGATTCTGTAGGCTGGGCATCTAAATAGCAGGAAAGCACAAGAAAATTTACAGTGACATGAATTTTTTTAATACACGTAAACTCTAAGCAATTAACACAAATTTTCAAAGATATGTTACATTTATTCAACGTTAACTTTGCACTTAGAAAAGATTAATAATTTTTCCACAGTTATACATTTGAATAACTAGCCTCACTTTTATAAAAATTACACAGATTTAAGGGAGCACCAAATATTACAATTTAGGTTACAAATTATGACTTGGTATAGTAAATTATTCAAAAATTAAAATTAAAAATGTAAACTCTGATATTCTTTATAATCTCTTTTTCTACTACATTGATCACTGTCACTCACTAGTGACTGTAGATGCATCAATAATTATTTATTTTAATGCAACAGAAATGAAAGCCTACTAAAATATCTTGCTAATCTACAGTTTAAGACTAACACTACTTTATTTTCCTTTAAAGTTCACTTTAACAACTGAGTTTTGATAAGAAAAAGTAAAAACTTCAAAAAATAGTTTTTAGATACTCTTTTCTAGGGACTATTTTGAATTGTCTTGACAATAAGATCACATAGGGCAGGGTATACATATTTAAGAATAAACTAAGGCCATATCATTGAACTTCACTGCTGATTAACAGAAGGCCAAGATTTCTGCACAGAGGAAGTTCAAATTACAAAACTGTTACAGAATTCCTGAGTTGGTGAAAGCAAGATACTTTAAGCTAAACTACAAGACTATCAATGAAAAATTTAAATACTACAGCAAATACGGAGTTTCTACACACTTGGTACTGAGAGAAAAAATGAGGGGGAAAAACAGTTATAAAAACATAATCAGGGACAACATATGGACATTTTCACCACCTGTGGTGTTAGCCAGAAAACATATGCTAATGGTGATGAAATCTGGATTTTTCTCTGCTAGACTTGAGATAACAGAAACCCTATTTTTTAAAACTTGGTCACCTGTTTCTCTAAAGCCAAACCTTTTTAATACATTACATTTGTTTCTTTTTCTTTGTTCCTTTCTTTTTAAGGAAAAAGGGGGACTCCACAAGGACACATTTCTTCATAAATCTTTCCAACTAGACCACACTTGACATTGAAGGTAAGGCATAAAGCACTTAAAATGATAAACATTATGATTACCATAATGTTTTAGAGGAAAATTATGCTGGCAGGATTCCTCCATGCTAAAATAGGAGCGAAGGGAGGCAGTCCAAATTTATAAGATGAATTAAGAACACTTCTGATAATTCTCTTTGTCATATAAAACCAGTACCTAGACTGTCTATAACCACTTCACCTCCCCACACATACAAAATGATCTATTTACTCCTTTACTTAAAAAATTTAAAAGAAAATTCACACATGAAACTAGGAATAAAGATGCTTTCAAATTACAACTTTATTTTGTGCTAGGGGCAAGTCATAATTCCAAATATCAAACCTGCCGACTAATCAAAAATGTACAACATATAATTTGAAAAAATCAACAATTGCAGTACCAAATTTTAAATTTAACATATGTAAAACAGTACTACAACAATTAAGTAACACTAATATGCAAAGCCAATTTATAAAATTTGTGTTTATATATTTGTTCCCTTATTTTTCAAATTTCTTTTCAAAACTTTGTAAAAAAATAAAAATGCTACGACAAAGTAATTAATTACACAGAAGAAGCCAATTAAAACACTAAAGACTCTGTCCAAATCTACAAAGGCATCACTAGATTTTTAAAAATCAGGATTTGTCATTATAGCAGTAAATTTTTATAACATTTAGCCAGACCATCATTTTCAAAAGTCGTAATTAGACACAAACTGAAAAGAAGGCACACCCATAACTTTAATACTTACACAAGAGGCAGCAGAAGAAAATATTTTTTACATGCAAAAATGACAGTTTTATACTTTTTCATTATGGAATTGTGGAACTACAGACATAACATCAATAATAAACACACATTATAGTTTGAATTCATGAAGTGGGAATTCATGACAAAGGACAATATTTTATCTATTAYACATCTAAAGCAATTGTGAAGTTTGAAAACACTAAACTGTATTTCTGGTGTGGTGACTAGTTGTTAACACAAAAATATGACACTGAGACACACAGACGAAACATTTTCAAGTAGAATTAAATAGACCTTGTAAGTAGTTAATACTAGCAAAGGTTTAATAAGTACAAAGAAATTTAAAAATAAAGGAGAAGATTCAAGTTTCCCCTAAGGCTGGGGAAAACACCCAGCACCACACTGGTTAAACATTTGTTAGACTGTCACAGAAAGTCACGTTTATAATTTTGAAAGCTGCTGAAGACTGCTGTAGAAATGAAGACAAACAGAAAACAGCAGACAGGTACGCGCTACTTTACTGGAAGCAAGTCATGCAAAGGAGTGAAATACTAGGGAGGGAAAAGATTGTATAAAACAAAGCATTTTTTCAAAAAATGGCCTTTTATAATATGCAACCAAGACTTGTCACTTTGATTTTTCATAGCAAAGAATGGCTTTACTATTTCAAGAAAAATGTACAGTCTGATAATAAAAGAACACTTATCTGATTGCAAAATAATGTACCTACTACTGAGAATAGAGAAACTGATTGTTTAAAGATAAAAATGAATTATTTTAATAATTTCACACCCGTTTCCTTAGGGTAACAGAAGATGATTCACTATCATATTTGCTACAATTGAAGATATTATATTTTAAAAGGAATGACAAAATAGCTATGAAAGGAAAAAAATAAAAAGCAAATCAACATAAAAATTATAATAAAGTCTTTCTGCTTTAATCTGACATTATATTCATTCACTCATAAATATTTCAATCCATCTCTATAAGCTTCATTAAGTCAGGGATCAAAATGTACATTCCAGGGGCTGGAGTGTAGCTCATCTCTTATGTGTGAGCACTGGGTTTGATCCTCAGCACCACACACAAATAAAGAAATAAAATGAAGGTTTTGTGTCCATCTACAACTAAAAAATTATATGTATATTTAAAAAGTACATTATACAGGCTAGGGTTGTGTGGCTCAGTGGTAGAGCGCTTGGGGCACTGGGTTCTATCCTCAGCACCATATAAAAAATGAATAAGTAAAGGCACTGTGTCCATCTACAACTAAAAAAGAAAATTAAAAAAAAATTAAAAAGTACATTCCATACACTGGTAAAGTATATAAATCAATACCTAAATTTCCTATACTATTATCTGAATGAATGAGAAGGGTCAATAAATAATCCTCCAACATGAATTAAAGGAGGCTATTATGTGTTTTTTCTCTGAACATATAACCCTACATAATTTTATAAAAAGAAAATTTTAAATGCCACTAAAATAAATAAACTTCCAAGTATAGGATCAAAGCAATTGAAAATGTATGTGAGAAAATGGAAAAAAAAAATAAAGTTAGACTAAAAAGTGGATACCTACATTTTTAAATGATGGTGGGAAACAGGCAACACAAAAAGACATTAGAGGAAATGTACAAGTCAATGAGAAGGCACTGTTAAAACAAAGAATCTGAGAAAGGGTACTCTAGTTCTTATTTATGAATGACCACTTCCTACTCCTATTCTGATCTACCTGGATATAAATTTAACAAATATAAAACTTCTATTACTTACAAAGTACTCTGCTAAGGTTAAGAAGAGACACAAAAACAGTAAGTGTCCCACTTCTTCCAAGTTATGCAAGCTAAAGATGTGTCATTAGAATGAGCAATAAATTAATGATGTTATAAAATAGTAGGAAATTCCAAGAATGAGAAGAGACTTTATGGGCTCCCATTCAGTGTTTTTCACATACTTTTATCAGCATAACTGCTATCAAATTTTATGGAGCAATACTGGGATTATATCTTAACTGCCACTATGAAATAAAATAAAAATGAAATTTTATCATATAGATGTAATTTGTCTTAAGGAAAAAAACTCCCCCTGCCCAAAGAGCATGTTTTAATAAACACAGAATGACTTATCATGCCTTAAGGTCTTTGTAAGTTGCTGCTTCTTTCTACAGTGTCTTTCACTAAAATGGCTTTTTTCACCTTCTAAATAAAATCTAATTCAAACACCACCATAAGATAAGTTTTCCACGGTGATGTCCAATCTACACTTTGCTAAGTTAATACCTTCTGATATATGCCTTGAATGTAACTTATGGAAGTAAACTATGAGTTTACATTTCTGTCTATGCTGTGCTATCAGACTGAGAACTCCCTGAATGTAGTTACCTTTGCATCCCCAGCACCTTCTGGCTGGTATACAGGAGAAAGTATACATATATTAAACTGAAGTAGAAAAACCGGTATGGAAAGGGGACAGTTAATAAAGACTTATTTAAAGATGGTCTTCATTTTGTAAACTCTTAAGATTTCATTAAATCATATTTTAAATGCACTAGAATACTTAATTTGTATACCAAAATTTGCATGTAAATTAGTACATAAAAAGCTAGATTTATCTACATGGAATTATTTCTATATTGCTTAACTATGGAGGTATACTGAGCAAGATTTAACCAATTAGAATGATGGAACTGGTGGCCTGAATATTACTACATATCTAGAAATAAGCAATGTAGTATTATTAACTACTCCATTTAATAAAAAAAGTGGCTTTATTCTAAGTAATAATTAGGAACAGGTAAATTAACTGTTTGGGCAATTTTTAATGTGGTAAAAAAAATTTGAGAGGTTCCTTTGATGGACCAAGGGACCTATGTAGTCTAAAGATAAGGCAATGTTTCACACATGCATATTTCCAAATGAAGAAACATTCACAAAAAGATGAGAGAAAAAAGAAAACACCAATGTTAGAATCAAAGGAAAACATATTTAAAAATATAAAGTAACAACAAGTGAACTCTGTTCTGGTATAATAGTATGTTTTCACTAGATTTCACTTATAGTATAGTATACCAGGAAGCGTCAAAATAAAAGTTCTACATTGGCAGATGGGGGGCAACAGGTATCATTTTTTAAATTTATCTGCCTTTAAGAAATTAATACTTTCGATGTAATTCTACATTATTAGATATTACTGTTGTTAGCAATTTTAACCCTTGCCTGCTACTAAGTTTGCCATTTAAAATTTTATGTTAATGACCCAATCCCCTTAAGACTGGAAAAGTCAAGACAAATCATCTTTTAAATACTACATGTCACTTCATGCTTCCCACTGGACCACAACATAATGATAGATTTATAAAAAGATCAAGTGCCAAGTCTTGAACAAGATCTTGACTATATCAAAGCCAAGATTCTGCAAATGTAAAAAATTGGGGACAAAGAGGAAAAAGGAGAGAGAGAAGAGCAGAAAAATAGACAAGACCAAGTTTGAAACAGATGCAAATAAACTAAAATACAGCTTTCATGTAAGTTGCCTCCTCTGAAAGAATAATCTTAAAAGTCAGCAATTTGCTCAACATCCCCAAGCTGATTAAAAGTCATGCTAAACATGCACTTAAAATAGCATTGTTAAATTGTTGAGAAGGGTCAAGAAAATTAATACATCTAATAACATTTTCCCCTTAAAAAAAAAAAAAACCAACAATTTAATATGGTCCTGATATTGACATTACTTCTCTTTACTAGCCTGCACACAGTACACAAAGTGTAACAGATCATTTATAGAAATGTAGTAAATGTTGAAAATATCAGTGACCACAAATATTCTATAAAATGGAGATATGCTATAATCATATAACAAGTGCCCTGGCTCAAAGGGAAAAAAGTATAAATGATTCATAACAGAATAAACTATATAAAAACTAAACAGAAGTTGGTAGTAAAAGACAATGTCTTTCTTTGGGTTCATTTTAAGGATTTATTTTATTTTTAAAAGAAAAAGTCTTAAATTTTAGGAATCTATTCAAATGTTTTAATCTCAGATAAAGTGTAAGGAATCAGGAGATTTAACCTAAAAGGTATCTCTTCACCCTTTCCTAACAATTTTCTAATGATCAGTTAAAACAGCAACATTCACGCTAAAAGACCAATTTAATATAATTTTTCTCAATTTGACAACCAGACAAGCTAAAGCAATACCATCAGCCAAAAAAGCAAAAGCTTTGCACACATGCACAGAGGTCAATGACACTTACCTGCCACTCTTAGACCATATTACAATAGGTCATGCAACATAAAACAAACAGAAGGCAAATTACTTAAAGGTCTGTGAACCTATTATTTTTCTTTTTATTTCGAGTTAGAAAAATGAGTTCCTGAAATAAATACATAAAATTACGTTTTTAACTTTTCAAATTATCTGCAAAGATTAAATAATTTAGGTTCACACTTACCTTTTAATATTATGCCCAAATACTGAGCTCTGAATGGCCTTCATGAACAGATTTCATATTTAAAATAGTTTAACATACACAGAGTAATTGAAACCTAGTCAATTTTCAACTGTAATACAATTTTCCCCCAAAGACTGCTTGTATTAATAAATCTTGAGGTAGTATTTTTCTTTTCCACCAAAATTTTTTTCATAAAAATGTTTCATTAGCATATTTTTCAAATTATAAAATAATCTCCAACTAAGAAATATGAAATGTCTTATAAATATTCAAATAAAGACATTTTTCTCATCAGAATTTAATCTATATAAAATCTAACTTCCAGTTCTAGAAGGCACCAGAAATTTTACTCAAACAATTCACAGCTCAGTCATGCAAAGCAGTTAAAAAGATGGCGAAGTGGAAACATTCATTAAGTGCAAGACAAACGCAGTCTACTGCAGGCAAAGAGAAATAGATATAAAATCATCTTCTCACTTTCAAAATCAAGGAAAAAATTTGGCCCCTGCTCAAGGTCTGTGCATGTCAAAACTTTAAGAAGATTCCCCATGTTAAGGTACCTGTCAAGACAAGAATGAGAAAAGAGAAAATATCCCTTTATAAAAAAGAACATCTGAAATTTATTAAAAAAAAAAAAAAAAGGTAACAGGGAAAATGTTCATTAGGCCATGAATTCATCCTTCAGGTTACCCAGACTGTGCTCTGGCAGACAGCAAACCGGGTTCTCAAGGTGTTGGTATGGAAGACCTAGAGGTGAAATGTGGTTTTTCCTGTACACAATGACACAACTGTTGCTCTAATTCTTCTTAAAATTCTCCCAAGACAAGTTTCATTATTGGCCTTATAATGAAAAATTCTTTAAGTATTCCAATAGTGCTAGTATTCTGAAAAAGAAATTCTGATCAAGAATTACTCACATGTAATTTTGTTAGTATAGCACTGAAACAACAATATATTTCAAAGCCAAATATTAAGAGGTTTGGCTTTCAAAGCTCACCTTTGACTCTCATCCTAAAATAGCAGAATATAAAACTTACTTCCTATATGCCATTAAGTACAGCATATATTTTCAATCAAATTTGAATCATTAATAATTTGAAGGTTATTCAAAGCATTGATTCCAAATATGCAGCACAATTATTATTTTTTAAAGAAAATTATTATAGGATTATAAGCAAACAGAGTGTTTGGCATAGTCACTAAAGCATACTATTAGAATGTTCATCATAAGGCTACTTGCTTCATGGACTAATGAAAGGACAGCACTGGCTACAGACTCAACATGATTTTAGCAAATGAAGAACTAAAGAATTATACGTATGATGGTGATGTTTGCCTACAATTAAGAAAAAAAATCATGCAAACTTGGTTTGATCCCCCATGTTTAATTAACAAATATTCTGGCTGGCCTTCACTGTGGTGTGAATATAATTAATCGTTCACCTTTACCATTATGCACCAGCTGTGAAGGGCTAAAGAGACTTACTTTCAAAGTCCAAGAAAAAATGTGCTGCATTGTGGTCTATGTCCCTGGTTAGCACCTTAATGAGATTACCCATGCCAGCAAACCTAAAAATAAAAATGGCAACATCATTTAGTTCCAGTAAAAAAAATGTTTAAGCAGAGGCCTGGGATTCGGCAAAGGCTGGCTTGTTCATAATTACCAACAGGTGCAGGGTTATATGCTTCTGGCATTGAAAATTTGGAACAACAAAAGCACATTTGTCTAAGTTTATAGATCCTGTCCTTTTCCACATGTCAAAAGTGTTACATAAAGCAAAGTGGGAAAAAAAGATTATATTTTTACATATAACTTGCAATATTTCCATTTGATTAATATCTGTGTTAATGTTGATCCTTTAAAATTTTTGAGGTATATATTTTAAATTTAAATTAATAGCAAAACTAAATTTTTCAATTAAGTAAACATTGAGACCATTATTTTTAAATTAGTGCAATTTTTTTCTTCTTGCTGAATTAAATCTTATTGGGAAAACAGAGAAGATAGTATTTAACCACATTTAAACATTACACTGAAGGAAGTTACCAATTAATGACCCTTGTTTTTACATGACCCATTTTTAAAAATCACCAAACCAACTCCAACATTTCTTACATCTTCTAAGATTAATCAACTTCTATTATTTAAGTCTTAAATTAAACATTCAACTATATAAAACCATACATAAAACTCAAAAGCTAATACAGCAAATAAGCACATAAGGAGTGAGCGATTATCACAACTTGGTAAATTTGCAGAGCAAAACAAAATAAAAAGAAGGCACTGGCATAAATCTTGTCCAAGTATTTGCCATAATTCTGTGAGAATGAAGGTGGAAAGTACTGTCAGAACACTTGGGAAACCAGGTTCAAACCTGGAAACTGGAGTAAAAAAGGGGAAGGCAAACTGTGACATCAGAGCTACTCACACCCTACTTCCCCCATCAACTACAGAGCTTTTTTTCCAAAAACTAAGCTGCAGGCAGATGTAAATGAAACAAAAACCATAATATTTTTCTTAATGAAAGAAGACACCTTATCACACCCATTGTAGGAAGTGTGAAAAGGACAAATATTTATGATCACCTGCTCTCTGTTCCCCCTTCCTCCACCTAGTCCCCAAAGATGGTTATATTCCTTATGGTCAGTTTCCCAGAGGAGATAAATTCACGTGTGAAAGTCGGGTGGACAAAACATACATTTCTCATAAAATGTTATATAAGAATCAAATTTATTTGCAAGGAAGATAAATACTGAATGGTATCTCTATTTTCAAATGATATTCCTTCAAAATTTATCTTATTTACATTAATATTTCTATTACATAGAATTTCAATGTTCTTATATGTTTTACATGAGTGAATTAGGTGAAATGAAATAGATTCACCGAGAAAACATTTCCTTAATAACTATCTTACACGTAAAAAGTTTAATAATACAAGCCTTTATATTTAAGGAAAAGCACTTTTCATAAATCATCACATCCAAATTACCTCAAATTAGTTACTACATTTATTCAATAAGTTTTTGAAAGAACCATTTGAAAATATTTTTTATAGCTTTAATCTTTTCAAACATATATGGATTATGTTTCCAAATATATGAATCTCTCATTAACAAGAACTGATATTAGAGATACAAAAAACTATCTAGTGTATCAAAACTGCAACCAAAGGTGCAAAACAAGTCATGAAAATGAACCATAATTGTTTTCAACACAAAAAAGGCAATAGACTATCCAGTGCTAAGAGTAATCAAACCATAATTCTAACTCTAGTTTACTACCTGTTTGAATTTAAGAACAGTAGTTAACTTCTGGGATTCATTACTAATACAACAAAGACAACTATAGTACCAGTCTTAAAGGGTTATTACAAAGGTTTAAAGATTTAAGCACTGACTTTGCAATATCCAGCATACAGAAAGCACTTAAAAAATGGTTCTCCTTTCCAGGCACCCAGTCTAATGTGGTCTATGTTTCTCACCACTGCATGATACTTGATATTTGATGCTAAAAGTCCTCAATGATTTAGAATTCTTTTTCCCCATATACAGACACTGATCGTGAAAATTGACTCAATTTATCTGGCATAGTGTTTCTCATTGCACCATTAACATTTGGAGCTGGAAAATTCTTTTATCGTAGGGTTTGTTTCACAATGGAGGATACTCAGCAGCATCCTGAACCTCAATCCACTAGAAACCAGAATCAACTCCCCAGCATATGTTATTACAATAACCAAAAATGTCTTTGTCAAATGCCCCTGTTGCCCAATGAAGAAACTCTTCCTATCCTATAGCATACAGAACACAAACTTTTTATGTAGGAAACCACACCATTTATCTTTTTTAACAAAAACTCGTGGAATTTTTCAAAAATCTGAAAAATTGTTCCATTATAACATTACTAGTTCTCCTGTCTTTTACAAAGATAAACAAAAAAATTTAAACCATACTTGTTTGCCTTATTTTAATATGAAAAAAACCCCACCTCAATGTGACTGAATTATAGCTCCTAACAATCAGCTCTAGTAGGGACGCAAGATTACCTGGGTTTAAAACCCTGTCACTTCCAACCTTGGTGACCTTAGTTAAATCTCTTAACCTCTCCATACCTCCACTTTGTCATCTGTAAAACATACATTATTAAAATTAACTGCAAGACTGGGGTTGTGGCTCAGCAGAAGAGCGCTTGCCTAGCACGTGCGAGGGCCTGGGTTCGATCCTCAGCACCACATAAAAATAAATAAAATAAAGGTATTGTGTTCACCTATAAAAAAAATTATAAAAAAATAATAATGATATTCAATGCAGAGGGTCCCTAAAATCATTAAAGGGAAAACACAATCAAAACATTTAGTACCATGCCTGGCAGATTACTTGCTGCTATTACTGCTGCATCGTGGAGCGACATAACTACGAGTCATTTCTAGTAGCAAAGCCTGAGGAATGTGAGGCCTGGGAACATGTGGCAGCCTGCTTCCTGCCATAGAGGACGCCAGGCTGTCAGAGAAAAAGGAAGTCAACATGCAGGACAGAATTGCAGAAAGTGTCCCACAGTCACTAATTTCTCAGACTGCCTGATTTTCTTCTCATTTAAAGATACCTTAGCTCCCTTTAATCACTATCCCTTTTACTTGTTGAGCTGGATTTCTGCCAACTGCATCTAAGAAGAATTTTCACTAATGAGATTTCTAAGTTTCAGATAAATGGATAAATCTGATCTAAGAGAATTTTTTAAATAGCTTATGTAAAACTAGATCCAAAATATGGCTGGGATATTTTGGAGGAATGTTTTAAAATAAATAATAAATATTATTATTTAGAAAATAATAATAAGCTGTAAGACTGACTTACATCTAAATTTAGTAGAAAATTACTAAATTTAGTAATTTAATAAATCTTACTATCTAAATTTAGTAGAAAATTCTTTTAGATCATATTTTATTGTAATTCTTGAATTTCAACTAAATACTATGTTTATTAAATAAGCTAAGAAAAAAATCAATACAAATTTAATACAAGAAAGCCAGACGGCTTATTTCAAGAGTTTGTAATATTTATGGTGGAATTTTGTGACCATGAATGAACTCTTATGTTACAGGCTTGTTTCCAAGTGGACAACTCATCTGGAAAAGAGCAAGCTCTTCCTGGAAGGTACTCTGTGGAATGTATTTTTAAGCTAACATTAAACCATTTTCCCCATAAAACACTTTAAAAGAAGTTCCTTATAGAATAACAGAAACAGAACTTCAGGATTCAGTTACTGTGTTACTTCCTCCAACTTTCTAGAAACTTCACAAGCAATGTTACTTTATTTACTCCTTCCAGCTTGAGGGGCTTAGCACTGCTGTCTCCTCTGCTTACAATTAATTCCAAGATGTACCAAAGGCTAGCTTCTTTTCATTCTTTGGGCCACATCTCAGATGTGCCCTTCACTGAGAAGCTTTTCTCTGCCAATCTTCTTGAAAGTGGTTGCACCTGCCACCCCAGTTATATTCCACTTGACCACCCAACATAYCCTATTAGCATATCACAATCTAAATTACACTACTTTGTT